GCATTCCTGGACAAGAATAAAAATAAAACATCAGAGAAAAACACATCAAAAAGGTAAGCAGCAAAGTGAAATAGTCACACCTGTTCAGTTTATAAGGCACCTGCTTATTGTCTTCTTGCAGCCTGCAGTCTCTTGAGGACAATAATAGCTTCCTAGCTACTATGTCAGTCAGGATATAGGCCAAGACACTTTAATAAAGAAGCCCAAAAGTACAGTGGCTTCAACAAAATGGTTTATATCTCATGTGTGTAATAGTCCAGAGCTAAATGCTACCAAGACATTGTCATCCTCAATATGTGGCTTCTTTCCTAGGTCAAGAAACATTAATTTGGAGAGATGTTCTAAAGGCTAAATGAATAAAGCAGACTGTATGTGTATGTGTGTGCATGTATGTGTGTGTTAAAGAAAAAAATATATATAAGCATTATTTGTTTTTATATCTCTATAAATCCTTATTTATACATATTTATCAATCTATATATAGAGGGAGACATGGATATAGATATATAGGAAAATCAATGTCAGTACATCCATAAAAATATATGCAGTAGTTGAATTTGGTCATTGGAATATAAGGTGATGTTTACATTTTTATTTGTGTTTTTTAAAAGTATGTGTATATACTCAAAATATTAAACATGTTCAACTATTGTAATGGAAAAGTGTCATTTAAACAGTAAAATATGCAAAAGAAAAGTCTAACAAGTTAATTGTGGCTATCTCCAGATGGTGATGTTTCATGCAATTTTTATTTTCTGAGTTTCCAATAACGTGTGTATATTACTTCTAATCAGACCCCTGAAATCTTGTTCATCTTAGTAGTGGTTTAAGGAACAACTTTTCTCTAGACAATGAGGGCTAGACTTCATTTTCCACATGATTTCCGATTTTGAATCACTAGATCTATACAAGATTTTAGAGTCCAATTAAAATTTATTAATTTTCACTAATCTATATATCTTACATTCTTGCCAATTTACATGGCTGCACTATTAGTGAATGTGTATAATATTGTTCAGGAAGAAAGAATTTTAAGAATTTTTATTTTTAAGAATGCTTAATGCTTTCAAGAATGCATTTTAAGAATGCTTATTTTCAAAACACTAAGTATTTGTATTTAATCATTATGACATTTTCATTTAGGTCTATGTGTCCATACATAAATTCTAAACCACTTTTTTCTAAAGTATAATGAAATTTTGTATGTACTTTAAAAGTGGTCCCTCGTAAGTAGAGAATGCTCTGGACACCTGCTTGAGATCCCTTGCCATAACTTTCTGTCTTGTCTGAGTGTATAGTGCAAGGGGGTTCAAACCCATATTCCCTCACTTGCTTTTTCTTTTTTTTTTTTTTTGATACTTTTGAGTTGAACTCTTTTCAACACATGTTCAGCGGTAGATTGATACATTTCTTATGTATTTTTACAATTAGCCATAAATTATGGTATTGTACTTTGTAATACACAGCTTATAAAGCACTTTCAAAAAACTTTAACACTTGATGTTCTGTGATAATACAGAACAACAATAGTAGGTCTGTGTTACAGAGGAAGAGACAGGGACAGAGGTTTAAGTGGATTTTCCTGGGTTTCTGGCTCCTAGTTGATGTTTTATTTCCACTATATTATACTCTCTCATAAAATTCCTCGCTTGCTTTTCGTTTCACATGTCAGCTGCTGTTTGCATAACTCTATCTTTTCCCCTGCCTACCCCCTAGACAACAGCAACGCTGGTGGCCAACTGGCCTCGAGTGGAAAGAAGGTGAAAATGCACCTGCAGGACCCTGCCAAAATTAGGAGTAAGATTGTTTGTGCCACTTCTATTTTGCCCTGGGGGTCAATAGAAATTTTGCTAAAGTTTTGAGAAACACAGATCTTCCTTAATTTTTTACTAGTCAAGCTTACCAGTCAATTTGAGAGCCATGAAATCTTTAGCAAGCAACCCATTTGGAGCCAGGATTGTAAATTGTTTGCATTTATATCATAGCTCTTATCTGCCCAAGACCTAATTTTTTTTTCCTCTGAGTTTTATCTGTTTTTCATGAAAATTCCTTTACCTTATATTATTGGTTTATTAAAATGGCTAGTTTTTATAAATTATAAACAGAAAGTAAGTTCATTCTCTCATTGCCCTTTCAAATCTACCTTCTAGGTGAGTTTTTCCTATCTTGGGCAGGTCATAGCATTTTTCTGTTCCCTTTTCACAGGAACAAGAGTCTTTTTCCAGTTATTGGGATCCTTTCAGGCCTGGTATTGAAACTTAAGTATTTTCTCCAATTCGAAGCACCTCCCTGCCTTCCACCTGAGCAAGCTTGGTCTGGAACACCTGCAGTGGAGAGGTGGCATAATTGGGGTCTTCTCTCTTGGCCCTACTCCCACTCAAGAGCTGCTGGCTTGAGCCCATTCAGGATTGGGGAAGTGGATGAGAGAGGACAGATAAGAGTGTGGAAGTGTCTTACCTGACAGGCACAGCTGTGAGATGACACTGGATAAGGAAAGTGCACAGTCACTATATCTTTCCTCCACAAGATGCTTTCATTAACTCCGTGGTGAGGGAAGAGCCACCAGCTTGACTTTTTTGGAAAGAAATGTAGCCTGGATATAAGTGAAGAGCTAGGGCCGCCATAACCTGTTCGACTAATACTTTGGATGGTCGCATAGGTGGTTCGGTGCATTGCCTTTGGATGTAGGCTGTGAAGTAAGGTGACCAACTCGACCCAGTTTGCCCAGGACTTTCCAAGTTCTGCCACTGAAAGTCCTGCATCCTGGATACCCCTTAGTCCTGAACAGACTGGGGCAGTTGGTCACCCTTTATGGCACTTAGTGAATTGTTCTCAACTGCTCGGACTTAGTTCTACTAAGATTTTGAGAAAACAGTATTAAATTTAAAATTGTCACATTTACTTCTAGAGGTTAATACCAAACATAACAATTTTTAAAAAATAACCTTACATTATAATCTGACTGCCATAGTATTTATTAGGGTTTGTTATGGGGTTTCAGTGTTATTAAATGGGCACTAGAGCCTGGGGACACAGAAATAGTTAAATCCTGCCTTGCTCAGCCAATCTGTTTTGAAAGTAAAGTACAATAGTGCTATATTATGAATTAGTGGGTTTTAAGCTCCGAATCTCCTTTTACTAGAGCTCCAAATCTCCTTTCACTAGAAGCTCCAAAGACTAGAATGGACTTCAGTGTATTTCCTTTTTCTCCCTACAAATATTAGGCCTAACAGATTTGATGAAAGGTACATCCAACATACCTACTACCCAGGAAAGATATAACCAGAAGCAACAGATAGAGACAGAGAGCAAGAAAGAACTCTGCATTTGCTGTACTGTCCAAGGTTGTAATCAGAGCTTTAGTACCAAGCCGAACTGGAATATGGGAGAGGCAAGGATGAGATGTCTGGATCTCTTCTCACTGGGCTGTGAGCATGGACCTTTAGAAGAGGAGGGAGGAATAAGAAAGAGAACCAGAAATATCCTGGTCTTCTAGAGTATTCCACCACTTTGGCATCTTCGGTGAGAGGGGAGGTGCAGAGAGCCTCAGAAGGCCATACCTGGGTGGGTGACCTGCTATTGCCTAGTGAACCCACCTTCCAGAGGGAGAAAGTGAGAGGGAGTCAAAAGATTAACCTACCTCTTTAAGAACTGCAATTCTGTCTTGTTAGTCCTTTTCCTTAGCCCATGGCTATACTATCTAAGTCTTCTACTTTCTTACGTTTAGAAATTTCTTTAAGTTTTAAGATTTCTTAAACTTAAGATTTCTTAAGTTTAGAAATCTCTGTAGGCTTCTTGTCTGAGATTCTATTATCTTGTTAAATAACAACAGGGTGACAACTTGCAAAGTTGTGACTTGTTTGATCTTCTGATAAGGTCTAGTCATCAACATTTCTCCCATGAGGCCATTTTGATCTTGAGGAAATGAAAACCCTCTCAGTAACTGCTTAATCTAAAGACCAGAAAGTGGGATTATTTTTCCAACCAATGTGTCCATTTTGGGTTTGACTGAAGGAAAGAGCCTTTTTACTTTGCTGGTCTGATATATGCTCATAATCTGCTTGGAGTTTGCAGCAGTTAGGAAGGAGTAGTCTGGAAAATATTTCTTCTTGGGGTCTGTATTACCCCACCCAGCACCACCAGATGGTGGTCATTTGATGGTAGGCATTGAACACAGAAAGCAGGAAATGAATTTATCTTCCTACCTTAGAAAATAAAACACATGTGAATGATAGCAAACGTACTGAGATGCATATCCACAGTCAATTAACTTGTAAATGGCAGAACACCTCCTGCTGCAACATCTACTGAGTCAATCCTTAATTACTATTTGAAATCAAGGTTTTGGAGGACTCAGTTCTATCCATTCTCTTGATTAGACTTCTTCTTGTTAGTTTCTTCGATTCTAATATCTTTGTCTAAACCCAGGTGGACAAAACTCTTGGTCACATTACTAAAACTTTCAACACAAATGTACAAATAACTTCATTCTAGGTGATGTGCAGGACATGTGTCTCGCCTGTGAAGCCCACCGTAGGGTTTCCCTTAACTCACTTCCTTTAACTGTACATTAGTAGATGTACAATTGGCATCTATTAAGCACTCAACACATGGCTGCTTGAGACATAAATAAAATGCTGATTTCTATTATTTGTTTGTTTTACTAATGTGGGACAATGAAAAGTAAAATATCAGATGAGTCTAAGATTTGCCATCTAATTCTTGGTGCTTAAGGACTAGGCATTATATATTTTTCTTTGTGCATTAGACAGGCTCATGGGAAGTTACATTTCAATGGAAATTCTGTAAAGCACTAATATACACAATGCAATTGCATGTCTGTGACTGTGATTCTATTTTTCTATTTTCTCAGGGAGAAAGAGAGGCAGACAGAGACTCCACTTAACACATAATGACAGAGCCCCACAGAAAAAAGTTAAGTCAAGAGGTAAAGAAGAAAAGGGGAATACACTCTCAATAATTATGCAGCTAATTTCCTGTGCTTTACTCTGTGTTTTTACTGATAAATCCATTTCCCTAATTGCTTTATGTAGCTTTACTAACTGTTGGAAAATGTCTATGATTTGGTCCATTTTCAAAATGTGTATGAAAGAAAAAGAAGATAATTCCACAAACAAGTAACTTGGTGACAGATCTAAACCAGACCCAATGGGTCCAGGGGCTACCACAGTGATGCTGTCTTCGCTGAACTGAAATAGTCTGGAAGTAGTCTGCTTTCATATAAAGTGCACATATACAACCCACATATTATTTAGCAGACCCTTTTCCTGCTACACAGAGAGTCAGAGGCTGCACACCACGGGTGGCCTGGAGCGGTAGTCAGAAGTCTGTCATTCTCTTCTTCTGACTGTGTGGTCTTGGACCTGTCACTTGACAGCTTTTGCTTCAATTTCTTCATCTGTAAAGCAAGAGAGTGAATTAGACCCACACCATCCTTCTCAGTTCATCCCAGTTCTACTAGCCTACTACCTTAAAACTGGACCATGGACAGCTCCCCGTCTTCCCATCATAGCTCTAAAACATTGGCTGGAGGGTCAGCATCAGTTACACATCCTCCTTGAGCTAGTTTGGAGACCTTTCACCCCTGCTGCTGTGGAATCAGGTCTCTAGCAGCCCTCCGCACCATGCAACTTGCAGATTATCCTAGAGCTTCCTGAACTCCTCTTTCAGCTAAGGAGAAAGCCAATGTGAGGGAGAAGTGAAGCAAAGCAGAGAACACAAAGAGAAGGCAGACGTCACCTCCATTAGGTTCCCCCATCATTACTCTCTCTGCTCACTAACCAGCGCTCAAATAGAGAGTTGCAAGTACAGTCTCTCGCTTTGTTCCAGCTACCTAACTGCAGTGAAATAGTATAACTGGAGGTTCCCTTCAGAACATGATGCAGCTGTACGTTTCATTGTCATGTAAGAATCAGTGGGGCTGACTGGACTGGGAGCTAAGACAGTTTTACTGAAGCCCAATTTCTCTGTTAACACATTCTGTTTTGTGTGAGATTTGAGGGATGAGGTAGAGGTAGACATTCTGTAGTTATGTATCAAAAATGCCACTTGGAAGAAAGACTTTGACTCTAGGGGTTTGTGGAGTAACGCTTTCTAAGTTCCTCCGTGTACCTTTATAGGAACAAACTCAGCATGGGGGAAGCGGTACGTGTGCAATTGAAAATGAGACAATGAAGGAATCTTCTCTTTCAGGGCAAAGAAAGCACAGATATGAAAAAGTGGATTTTCACTCTCAGATACTTCCTGTGACCTGTGGTAAGGTGAAGGGGATGTTACATAAGAAGAAATTGAAAGAAGGTGGGTTTTATGGTCTATTTGCAATTCCTATCTGAAGGGAGCATGAGAAGTAATGGAATTATAAATGTGAATTACACACAGTTGAAGGAATTGGGACAATGGTTTGGCTTGAGAGGAGGAAGGGATCCCTAAGTTGCTCTTTTCACACTTTAAGAAATCGTACATTTTAGATGCTTACTCCCATGTGAAAGTGTCCATGGGGAGGCCAAAGAGAAATGAAGCAGAAATAAAAGGGAAGAGGCCCTCAGCCTCCAACTTCATATCCTCTCTCCCTCTGGATGATTTTCACCAGGGCAGGTGCTTGATGTAGTAAGGATAGAACAGAATTCAGAATCAGACAACCTGAGTCCCAGCCTCAGCTATGCCGAGAGGGACTGATTCAGCCGAGTAGAGAATGGGACCTTTCTGACCCTGAAATTCTTCATCTAAAAAAGAAATCATTAAAAACCTGCTTCATGGTGTAGCTGCGTGGAATTAATGTACATAATTGAGGTAAAGTATTTAAACAGCTTAACCGAGATACAATTCATCACTGAGAGTGTACAACTCAATGTTGAGTTTCATTTGTATATTCACAAGATGGTACAGCCATCACCACAATCAAATTTTAGAATATTTTTGTCAGAAAATTTTTTCACTAAAGGAAACTCCATGTCTATTAGCAATCAATGCCCATTCCCACCTAACCCCACCCCACCACCCAGCCCTAAACTGGGCTAATCTATTTTCTCTCCACTAATCTATTTTCTGCTCCATAAATTGGCCTATTCTAGGTATTTCATTTAAATGGAATCATATAATATGTGTCCTTTGGGGACTGGCTCTCTCAGTTAAGATTATGTTTTCAAGATTCATCCATATAATAGTATGTATTATTACTTCATTCCTTCTTATTGCCCAATAATATAATATTCCATGGTATGTATATACCATATTTTGTTTATCTTTTCATCAGTTTGGATTGTTTCCACTCTTTCACTATTATGAATGATGCTCTTCTGAACGTTCATGTACAAGTTTTTGTGTGAACATATGTTTTAAATTATTTTGGGTATATACCTAGGAGTGGAATTGCTGGTTCATATGATGATTCCATGTTTAACCTACTGAGGAAACACCGAAATGTTTTCCACAGTGGCTGTACTGTTTTATATTCCCACCAACAATGTATGAGGGCTCCCATTTCTCTACTTCCTTGCCAACGCTTGTTATTGTCTGACTTTTCTATGATGGCCATCTTAGTGGGTGTGAAATGGTATCGCATTGTGGGTTTGACTTGCATTTCTCTAATGACTAGTGATGTTAAGCATATGATTATCTTTTATACATAACTTAAATTTTCCATTCGATAACATTTCACAATTATTTTTAATGTCAGCTATCCATGATTTCAGGGATGGGAAAATCTCTGCTCAATAATGCCATTAAACTGGATGAAAAGTGTAATAAAGGGCACAGATGCTGCTGTGGTGCCATTCTGAGCCACAGAGCCCCAATTGGAGATCTTAGTCCCAACCTGAGGTTCCCCAAAGTCCATAGGAGATTCTGACTTGTTCTCTATCCCTAGCATATTGAAATGGTCTCACTCTTCAAAATCACTTCCTTTTCCTTCGTAGGTGATTTTGACATACTTTTAAAAGGTTGATTTTGATGGTAATTATCATTTTGTTGTTGTTGTTGCACATTGGTTAAAGAAATGTTGCCACAAAGCAGTAAATATCCTTTGAGGGGACTTAAAGCCTAGGTTTGGGGATTCTAAAGCCTGAAAGGGGAGGCTAGACTCTCCTGTTTTAGATCTTGAGACCAAATTGGGTAGGTCCAGATCCAGTGTGTTGGGAGCCCACCATCTGAAAACAAAGAGGGCTAAAGATTAACTTACCCTGGTCTTACAGGAGTTTGGGTGAAGTGTATACAGAGTGAGAATGGAGACTGGTTCACCCCCAGGGAATTTGAAATCAGAGGAGGCCACGAAAGATCCAAGAACTGGAAGATAAGTGTTCGCTGCGGTGGGATGCCCCTACGTTGGCTGATCGAGGTATTCCAGTGACAGGGTTGGGAGATGTGACTTTCCTTGCTGTGCCCCAAGAATAAGGTCACTATTTGCTCACCAAATATTTGTTATGGCTAAAGCCCAGACGAGTTATAGCTAAAGCCCAGATGCCTCTGAGTTTATCCTCTCACCTGGGGAGAGGTGTTCCACATTCCTAACCTCAATACAATGCAGCACATCACTGTTGTAAAAGGGGCTCCGTCAGGGTAGATGCAGGAGCTTGGAGGAAGGAAAGGTCATTCTGACTCAGGTGCATGCAGACAGCTTTATACACTGAAAGAAGAAGACAGTTTACAATCAAACAAGTAGGAAGAAGTCACTCCAGGCAAAGAATGGCACGGAAACCAGAACCATGGCTGAGGTAGACATATTGTATGTGATAAGGCATAATCCATCAACTGGAGTTGTTTGTGGAGGGATTTAATGCCAGGCTAACATGTTTAAACTCACAATATAGATAATGCAGAATCAGTGACGTCTTCTGAGGTATGAAATGACATATTTAAAATAGTGTTTTAGGTGGCCATGGGGCCTTGAAATGACTTCAGTGTCTTTCAGCCCAAGAAACCTACACTCAACATGCAATGCTCAGCTCAAATGCCATTTTTCCCTGAATATTCCCTGCCTGACCTGACCCTGACCATCACTTCCCTAGGCTTCCTGAGCCCATTACTAAGGCCTTTCTTACACTGTTTTATTCTCATCCTTCCATGCATCCCCTTTTTCTCTCTAGACCCCTCTTGGGTTTGTCCATCTTTGTGTGCCCAAGATTGGCCAGAATGTCTGGCACCAAATAGGCATGGGATAAGTGTGTGTTGATTGACTAGCCCTGGTAGAGGGACTCAAGCTTGAGTGACACTGGTGGAAATGGAGAGGAGGTGAGAGGTGTCAAAGAGATTATGAAGGAAAACCTCTTAAAGTTAGGGGAAAAGCACAGGAGGAAAAAATAGTTCTAAAGATGATTTTTAAGCTACCACTGATTGAATGCTAGAAGAAGTACAAGTGAGGAGAGGGAGATGATTTCTCATTTAGACACCTTGGCTTTGGGCTGAAAGTGGGACATCCAGGTAGAAATATTTGGGAGGAGGTTGGAAATGAGAGACTCACAGGCCAACCATATACTTAGATCCTTTTATCTTTCAGAAAAGATTTCTCCATAACCCTCCAAGGAAATATGGCAGAATGAGAAAGGTGATTATTGCATAACCTTCTACAATTTCTCATCATGTAACTTATTTTTCATGCACTGTGCATTATTCTGTGGTTTCTCAACTGGGTAATTATTATTAAACTTTCTCCAACACCCCACTCCCACCTTTTAAAAACTTTCGGTATGCACCTTCAGTGTTGCTACTTTGAACACTATGTTGTATATATGGCAAGATCTTCTTTGAATGGTAAACCATTTGAAATGGAGGTGATAAGGAACCATCAAAATAGACCTCATGGATGTGCTTTAGCTATAGATGCAGATGTAAGGGTGTCAAAGTTGTAAAAGAAGACATGATGCTGGAATACATAAAAATATATCATAATAAGGTGATAGGGTCATCTTCAACTCAAACCCAGATTTTTAAAATCATGTTACTATTTCCTAACTTTAATGAAATCTGATGGAGCAAAAGTTTATTCACAGTCTAAGTATAGGAGGGGCTGACCTGGAAAATTGTTTACTCTGATGCCACTCTTTCAGCTCCTCAAGGGGGGCTGTGCAGGCCTCCCTTCTATCTATGAAAGTGATTCCTTCCTCTCTGGAGGCAACAAACAAATATGTACGGTGCAGTGTAGATTCAGGACATGGCGATGGGTTTTCCAGGGTTGGGTATGAATGAGAACTTAAGAAGAAGGAGGAGGTGAGAAGTGCCATCTTATACACTTCATGTAGAAATGGCCATTCAAGACATTCACAGACTTCTAAGACAGGTCAGATGTAGCTGGCCAATGGGACTTCATGTTCCACTGGGAATGTGAGGTCCAGGCCTTTACATTATCTGATGTTCTGGACAGTTTGAACTCTAAGTCCTTGGGACATTTCACCCACTGGATTTCCTAAAGGGAAACTATCATATTATTTGCCCTACTTAGTGAGTATATTAAAGACCAGCATCTGTACCATTCCCCAGGTGCCAGGAGTTACTCAGTTAGATTACCCACATAAGCTGACAATGTCCTACCAACAGATTCTACCCTTATTTGTGGGTGCAGCACTTTTTAGCAACAACCTGCAGTTACCTCTATATTTTGCATCTCCCTGTGAGCAAGAACAGAAGCTCCCCAAGTGGCGGATCTCAGGACCCATTACTACCTCCATGGGTCCTCTGTGCCTCTCAGAACCTCTCTTGCCCCTTGGCTTCTGGAATCTTCAGTGTCACTCTCAGCACCACATGACAGCTTCCTGGCTCCTCACAAAGGTCACTAATGCCTTTTGATGACAGCTGCTGTGTTGTAAAATAATCTGATATACACCTTTAAAACAATCTTTTTATTGTAGGCTAATATTTGCTTAGGAGACAACAAGTAATCTGTTCCTCAGTGAAATGATACTCATTTATTCACTTATCCAACATACAATGATCGAGTGCACACTAAATGCCCAATGGTCATTAGAAGATTGAAACAATATCTCTGACCTCAAGGATTGTTTCAACTTCATTGTCTAACATGGAAGAATAACTAATGGGGATGGGTGGTGAACTTTAGGCCACACAGAAATGTGGGCAGTGACATGGACACCTCTCAGATCACTGTCCCATGGATCACACTTTTCCATGACCACTCTGCCCTGGGCTGCAGATAAAAGCTGAGACTGCCTGTGTCCTAGAGGGAAGGAGGTCAGGTCATTCTACTGAATATCGGAACGCAATGTAAAGTTAGTGGGTGGTAGTCACTTACCTCTGAAGAGTCAGCTAGCTGACATTTTGGGATTCAGAGGGAGGGAAAGGAGGGTGACTTTCTGGAAGAAGAGTTGCAACCCTGGGAAACTTGGGCACACTTTATCTTTGGGGCTGTGTCCTCGGAGACGTGTGATAGGTGGTGACATTCTTCTCTGGGACACTTGCATGGATGCCAGGCCTCTGGGCCCTGTGGTCACTGGAGCTGTTGACGACGAGTCCTCGGCCTGATACTCTCACTGCAGCTCCTTCAGGTGGGATGACATTTTCTAATATAGAGAAAAATGCCTAAGGGCCTCTCAAAGCAAGAAAACCAGAAGAGTTTCTCCAACTCCGTCTGTGGGAACCAGAGCCAGACTCCCTGCATGGCTTCACAAAACCCCACTTTGCTTCTGAGAGCCAGGGAATAGAACTTGCATTGGGCCAAACAGTGGTACTTTGGTACTTTTTATTTTCCAAGTAGATAAGTGTATCCATAAAAACAGGTATGAAGTAATGGGTAAACCGTGTCTTGAATCCCTCAACAGACTGCTGTTTAAATAAGTGATGGATGCATACATCACATTCAATATTGTCCTTTAATCTTTCTCTCTTTTATGCAGAAAAGAGTACCGAAGTCTCACGACAATACTTTAGATGACCTTTGTGTAAGTACTAATGCCCGCCTGTAACCCCAGGATAATGCAGGCCTTTTCCCTCAGCACATTCTCTGAGTCATCACCGCATTTCCCTGAAGCACACTCACACTCAGGTGCAGCATGTTGCTATGTATGATGAGCAGGGAACAGCAGGTGCATCACCCACATCAGGTACATGGTTCTGGCCTTGGGTATCTCAGCCTGAAAGCATCCTTTCCATTTGTTCAGTGGAAACCTTCCCATTTCCTCATTTCCCCTGAAAGTGAGTCTGGGAGGCAGAGCTTGAGACCACTGGTGTCTCTAGAGCCTGGGCTTGAAGTAATAATGGGTGCAGCTGGCCTGCAGATGAAGGATAAGGAGGAAATTTGAGGGGAAAACAGCAATTTAAAGAAGGCAATAAGGAAGGAAAGGAAAATCCCAAACATCTATTCCAAGGTGCAGGTAGAGCTAGATGGTTTTAAGCGTCAATCAGAAGGAACAGGCCAGGCCAACCTGGCAAGTTAAGGTGTGAACTCTGTTGTGAGTCCTGCAGAGAAATGCACTCAGGGCTAGTGGGTTCTTTATGGAAGCCCTGTATACAATCTTGAGGGAGCCATCATGGTGCTGAGCTGGTCACCACATAGCAAATCACAGGGCATTTTTACTCAAACTGGTACCATATGGCTGGATGCTTTAAGGTCTGCTAAAATTATGGATGACTCCACTCTCTAAGTTGAATCCTATTTTGATTCCCTTCATTGCAACAAGATGGACATTTCAAGCAGAGTCACCTTTGCACAACTCCAGGGGGAAGCACTCACATGGGTTAGTATGCAGTAATACTGATACACGACGTCCAAAAGAGGAGGGATGGTCAAGTAGTTTTACTTATAGTTTACCTCCAAAGCAATCCCCCCAACAATATTTAGATCTTATCCACACTCTTTCCAACAATATTTAGATCTTATCCACACCCTTTCTGGCCCTTGGACAACTGAAGGATTCTTTAGTCATCTAAACAGTGCTGGAGTCCAGTGTTTGTGTGGCTTGTTTGGGATGGATATAGACACAGAGGGTCAGGTCTCACGGCCCACGGCCAAAAGTCCATGGGGAGGAGATGTCAGCTGTTCCAGCAAGAGTACGCTCATTGCTGTTAATAATCTTTCCTGGGACTGATATTACAGGCCAGTTCAGGCCTATAATATCCCCTTTGCTCAGGGTAAGTCTCAAATTAGGCTGAAACTAAGACCTTTGGAAAATAGTATTGCCCGGATCCCACCCTAGAGGAAATTCTGTTCATCAGTCTAGGCTATGACTTGGACGTTGGGATTGTTTAAAACTCCCCAGATGATTCTGATACACAAAATTACCCATTCCATGAGTTAAAGAAGAACACCAATGGATCTGCCCTACCCAGACAAATTGATTCAGAATTTCTGGCGTAGGGACCAGGGCACTGGTATTTTATATACTCTGCCCTGAAAGTTCTAATGTGCAGCTGGACTACGAAACAAAGAGCTAGATAAATCTGCTAAAAAATACACAAATGTGAGGTTCTTAGACATTGGTTATATTTGTTATTCCTTGTTCTTCTGGGAAGAGGGGTCATCACTTTCTAGAGAATGATGATGGTAATTTGTCAGTTCCTACACTGATGAGAAAAAACACGGCCCCGTGACTCCATGTCAGAGCAGTCTCAGTCTCCCATTGGGGGGTGTCCTTGAGGATCCCCAGAACATTGAATGGGAGCTTTTGGCAAAATGGTCCTTGGAGCTAACACTTCCTCATATATGGCCATTTCAAAAGCAAAAGAAATGGGGGCTTCCCTGGTGGCGCAGTGATTGAGAGTCCGCCTGCCGATGCAGGGGACACGGGGTCGTGCCCCGGTCCGGGAAGATCCCACATGCCGCGGAGCGGCTGGGCCCGTGAGCCATGGTCGCTGAGCCTGCGCGTCCAGAGCCTGTGCTCCGCAACGGGAGAGGCCACAACAGTGAGAGGCCCGCGTTCCGAAAAAACAAAAAAAAAAAAAAAAAAAAAAAAAAAAGAAATGGCCAGAATCCCAATTCACCCAACACAAGTAGTTTCACACAAAAGCCCAGAACAAGACTCAAAATAATTGTTAAAATAATCTTGTATTACTTTCCACACTAAGTTTAATCCACCTTATTAAATTCTCAATATATCACCCTTCAAGGAGTCAATTTAGTTATTGTGGTATAGACAAATGCATTTAACACTTTATTTCAGGACCTTATTTTATCTGCAAGGTAATAAAGTTATTCAGATTCCTAAAAAATCTTCTTGTTTTGTTGCTAGCCTTTCAGTGTTAGAGTCTCTGGGTGTTTGGTTTTTTTTTTTTAATTAATTAATTTATTTTTGGCTGTGTTGGGTCTTTCTTTCTGTGCGAGGGCTTTCTCTAGTTGCGGCGAGCGGGGGCCACTCTTCATCACGGTGTGAGGGCCTCTCACTGTTGCGGCCTCTCTTGTTGCGGATCCCAGGCTCCAGACGCGCAGGCTCAGTAGTTGTGGCCGACGGGCCTAGTTGCTCCGCGGCATGTGGGATCTTCCCAGACCAGGGCTCGAACCCGTGCCCCCTGCATTGGCAGGCAGATCCTCAACCACTGCGCCACCAGGGAAACCCGAGTCTCTGGTTTATAGGGAAGAATTTTCTGGTCTGACACACCGGCCCTTCCTCCTGAATTTCATTGCAGACCACAATTTCTGCTTGTGAAATCGCCACGCTATGCTGTTCTTTAACATCTCAGGGAGAAGCAGTCCATTCAGATTCACATGAAGGCAATGAGTTCTAGATTCCCCTAGTTCTGGCCTTCTGGGGTCTCACCAGGGATATAGATGTTGTTTTACCTTCTAGCTGGGAAACTCAGATGTGTGTGAGACGTGCAGGGACGGAGGAAAGCTGTTTTGCTGTGATACTTGTTCGAGATCTTTTCATGAGGACTGTCACATCCCACCTGTGGAAACTGAGAGGTTCGTGAGATGCAGCCCTTCCCTTCTTATTAGGGACCCTTTCTCCTGCCGTACACACTCTCCCTACGGAGTTCTTACTATGTCTAGATGGGGAAACAGCAGGGCCATAGGTACAGGGTCCAGCAGTATGATCCAGAGAGCTGTTTCAAGGTGCTGGCAGCGGCAGGTTAATGCGTTTATCTCTCCTCGAGGTCGGTAGCCAGGTCCTTTGCCCACATACTGCTACTGTCCTTTCCTAGAAGTTTTCCAGCATGGACTCCTGTTCATGGGGGTGGAAGTGCCACTCGTTTGTGTTCTGCACCTATTCAGAAAAGGCAGGAAACATGGGCTGGTTCCCTTATTTTGCCACGTTCTTAATGGGCTGAGGGAAGCCCGAGGCCCCCCAGGGGTTAAGGCCCAGTTTCGACACCCAGGCCTGGCGGGCAGGATTCCTTGTGCTCCCAGAAACAGACAGAGAAAGAAGAGCCCACTGCTCATCCTGACCCCACCTCCATGCCCTGACCCCTTGTTGCTCCTTCGATGGGATGAGGGTCATTGGCTCAGGACCCACGTGGGGTTCTTGGAGACTCTGGAGGTGCCCCTTTCCTCCTCCGGCTGTGTCCATCAACATTCCTGAAAGGAGGACAGTATCAGACAGAGGAGTGATGACTGTTTCCAGGGACCTTGCCCTCACTCACTTATGTCTGGCCCCTTAGGAACTTGTGGAGTTGCACCTTCTGCAGGATAAAGGAGTCTTCAGGAAGCCAGCAATGTCTTGGGGAATCTGAGGTCCTGGCAAGGCAGATGCAGCCCGAGGAGCAGTTGGTGAGTCGGATGGGAACCCCACTTCTTCCCCTTTCCCCTCCCATGTGAGAAGTCAGATAGGCAGGGTCAGGAGAAAGGCAACCAAAGGGTGAGCCATGACTCAGTCGCACTGAAATCACACCAGAACTTGTTTGCAGCCATTGCATGTCTGTCTCCAAGAGCCATCCATGTTTGGGGAAACTTCCAGATACTGGTGTGAGTCATGCCTCTGCCTGGGCATGTATATGGGCTCATTGCCTCCAAGCTGCTTTTCACTCACAGCCACCTTCTTTTGCAGAAATGCGAGTTCCTCCTCTTGAAGGTCTATTGTCATTCAGAGAGCACCTTTTTTGCGAAGATTCCATACTACTATTATGTAAGTAACAATAACAGACTGTGATTACAGGCTGCCATGATGTTACCCCACCTTGAAACAGGTACCCATGGGATTTGAGATCAGAATCCCATGGGAGTGAGAGCATGAGCTGCTGTTACCTTTACCTTTTTGTATTTCTACTGGATTTGATGGGAATCCACGGGAGGCACACATTGAACTCTGCCAGTAATTCTCCCATTGATTTTTGTTTTTCACTAGATTAAAGAGGCTTCTAAAAACCTAAAGGAACCCATGTGGCTGGACAAGATCAAGAAGAGGCTGAACGAGCAGGGTTACTCCCACGTGGAGGGGTTTGTGCAGGACATGCGCCTCATCTTTCAGAACCACAGGGCATCTTACAAGGTAAGTGGTTCTCCCCGCTTCCATTTCATTTTCTGTCCATTGAGCCACTCTGCCCTCATTTTCTGGTGCCTGGGAAATTTTCGTTTCCCTCATCCTATGAAACCTGCAAAGCAAGAGTTCCGGAAGTCAGTGACTTTTCCGTTCAAGACTGGAGCTCAGCAAGGTGTAGTAACAGCGAATCAGAAGGTGTCCCTGCAACCAGCACCCCGGGCCTCGAAGAGCTCAGACCCTCCTACAGCTGCCATTCAGAACAGCGGAGTCCTGCCTCCTCCAAACCCAGGGAGAAGAGACTTGCATCTTAAAGTTCACACTGTGCTTCTTATCTCTCCCCCAAAACACGCAATCTGACCTCTTCAGAAATCCCAATCTCCAGATTCCACTCCATGTGAATGGATCATACAGTTTTAACAGGAGTCACCAGAGGGGAACAGAAGTGACAATGAAAAAGGAAGGTCATTGATCTAACTTAAAAGCAATCTGTACTATTTGCACTGTTACAAAGAGCATAGATTACTTTTCTAACTCTCACTGAAATCAATAACCCAACCAAGTAAGTAAGAGTCCCCAGGTGTGGTTATGAGTTCCCATTTCTATCTTGTTGCTCTTTGCTGCCTGAGTTTTTTAGCATAACCTGGTTCATATAACTTAGGGTGTCTAAGACAAGAGTCATGATCATTCTCAATTACAAGGTGGCAGTGACACTGATAATGAGGATTATGATTTTCGTGTTCATTTTATTTTATTTTTTTCCAGTTCAATGACTTTGGCCTAATGGGACTTAGACTGGAGGACGAATTTGAGAAGAATTTCAAGGAAGTGTTCACTATTCAGGAGACAAACAAGGACAGTTCACTGGAATAGTGGATGTTGTTAGTGTCCTGCAAAACCCCTTTTGGAGCAGACTTCTCATCCCCCAGCTGCATGGAAGGCTGGCTGCTTATGCCGCCCTTCCCCAGAGCATTGCCTTCAGCCAAATGGAGCCAGCTGCGCCTGGAGGGTTACACTTCCTTGGCCTGGGGACCAGCCTCCAGTGCCAAGGTGGACTCAACCTTGTGTTATGATTCATGCTCCTGTGTTCCCCATGAGATCCCGCTGGAGCTAGTCTGTGGCTGTGATCACATCCTTGCTTAGCTTTTCCTATAATCCTGCTTCCCTCCCCCGTTTCTCCCAAAGAAACTCACAATAAATCACTTACTTAAGAGACTTTATCTCAGGCTCTGCTTCTAGGGAGCCCAACTTAAGGTAACGATCCTAGCAAGCAGGCTGTAAGGGTGGGTTCTGGATTTGGATCACAGTCTGGCCAGATGGTGATGGGTAGTATATCGATGGTCCCTGGTGTGCTCTAATAGTGCTGTTGCCAAACTTTCATCTTTGGGAAACTCGATGAGATAAAGAGGATTTCACTAGCTTTTGAAATTGGCATTCACAAAGGGAGAAATGGTAAATGGAATTGTAGATTTTGGTGGCTATTGCTAAGTGCCACTAATATATTGAAAAGAATAAATGACAGCCTTAAATCTATTAGTCAAAGCAAAGACACCCTTACAACTGCAGCTGGAAGGCAGACAAAAGGAAGGCCTGACACAGGTCCCAGGTTTAAGAATGGCGGAACATAGGAGAAGACTGAAGTCTAAACTGGGATGGTCTCCTGTGCCAAAGGCAGAGCCCTGGTAAAGAAGGAGTGCAGTCCTGAATCAGAATCAGCCTTTCTAGGTAGATGCAAGTGAGAGCCTTGAACTCCATGTCTCCCTCAACACACAGGGCCTGCAAAAGAATTCCCTACCCTTTGTTGGAAGACAGACCCCTACCCTACCCCATCCTAATCTTGCTTGAATGAAGACTGCAGAGTCCTCCCAGCATGACCCCACTGAGAAAGTCCTGGGTTGTCCTGCCAGCTGAAGAGAGCATTTACCCCAGTGGAGCTGCAGGACTGGCCAACATGTACCAGCAGGTACCAGGAGATTGTGTCTGGCGGTGGGTCCTGGACAAAGAAGGGGAATATGAAACTGGAAAAGAGAAAATTGTCAACACAGAAGCACTCTCCTGTGTCAAGAAGTTTAATTAGCCTGGCAAGGACCAAAGGGGATGAATCAAGTATGCTCCTGGGTGGCTCTTAAATGCTTATATATATATATATTTTTTCTATTCCTTTAATTTTGGAATAAAAATGGCTGTTCACTAAACTTATTGTGGTAATCATTTCATGATGTATATAAGTCAAATCATTATATAAGCCTTAAACTTATACAGTGCTGTATGTCACTTATATTGCAATAAAACTGGAAGAAAAACATTTAATTAAAAAATTTAATTAAAAAAAAGCTTGGTATAAACTGTGGTACATACTTAATGAAGTGGAAGCAGAGATGCCAGGGCAGACTGTGGAAAAGAAGATCCAAAAGCCTCAGGATGGGGCTTCCCTGGTGGCGCAGTGGTTGGGAGTCTGCCTGCCGATGCAGGGGGTACGGGTTCGTGCCCCATTCCGGGAAGATCCCACATGCCGTGGAGTGGCTGGGCCCGTGAGCCATGGCCGCTGAGCCTGCGCGTCCGGAGCCTGTGCTCCGCAACGGGAGAGGCCACAGCAGTGAGAGGCCCGCGTACCGCAACAGAATGCAGATGAAAGAGGAAAGAATTACTGAACTTGAGGATAGATCAGTAATGTGCATTCAGTCCGAAGAAGAGAATGAGAAAAGGTTGGAAAAAAAAAAAAAAAAAAAAAAAGCCTCAGGATGTTGGCATGGCTCCACTCTCTACAACTGGAAAACCCACCCACCGGGTTACTGTGCTCTTCAGGAGGCCTCAGAGACATTAACTTAACAAGGTGATAAGGAACACACAGCTGAGGGGCACCAGCATCCTTGAGATGCTCAGTGGGGGCTGTCCTCTGTAGGTTGGCATAATGGAGGAATGTTTTACAGAACTGGATTCCCTAGTGACAATGGAAATGATAGGATTCTAGAATAATGGAAGCCAGGGGGCAGCATTTAACTGTCAGAGCAAGATGAAATAATTTTTGTAATGTGCAGCAAGGTTAGAATGACGGCTGGAGCCCTGGCCCAAAGCAATCTATGGAGATAGCTAATCGGACACGGTCACTAAACCTACTGTGGTAATCATTTTATGATGTATATAAGACAAATCATTATGCTGTACACCTTAAACTTACAGAGAGATGGGCAACCAACAAGGATATTGCTTCATATATATCATCAAAAAAGATTAAAAATAGATGAACAGATGGCTGAGATCAGCTACCCCAATAAAAAGTCAAGATCCCTTGCCTAGTTTCCAGACCTGAGCCAAAGCTAGGACCTGCTCATGGAAATGAGGGCAGGTCTCATAAGAAAGTGTGAAAGTAGTAATTCCCTGAGTTCTTCACCAAAAGGACCTAAGGTCATTTATTCAAGTAACCATATGCCAGACAAAGGAAAGTACACACATCTTTTAACAGTTGTTGATACAGGATCTGAGTTGATGCTAATACCTGGGGTCCCAAAACACCATAATGGTCCCTGCTAGAGTGGAGTGTATGGATGTAAGGTAATGTCCATCTAACAGTGAGTCCACTCAATCCATGGGATCACCCAGCAGCCATTACCCCAGTTCCTGAAAGTAAGGATAATGAGAACGTACATAGCAGTTGACTGACCTGGATCTTTAACCTGTGAAATAACAATGACTGTCCTAGGAAAGGCCAAGCAGAAGGGCTTGAAACTGAACTTTCCCTTGGTGAATTGGTCAGTTGAAAGAAAATCACAGTCCTGGAGAATGAGGGAATGACAGAGATTAGTGCCACATGCAAAGATTTAAGGATGCAAGGGTTGTAATCCTCATTACATCTTTGTTTGAACAGCAGTCTGGCTTCTGCAAAAGCTAAGTGGTTCATGGCTGCCAGATGACTACTAGAAACTTAACCAATAGTAGCCCCAGTTGCAGCTGTTGTTGCTTGGTGTGGTATCTTCGTTAGAGCAGGTTAGCACGGCCTATGGTATATGTCATGCAACTATTAATATGGAGAAATGTACTTCTAAAACATTCAGTAAGGGCTTCCCTGGTGGCGCCGTGGTTGGGAGTCCGCCTGCCTATGCAGGGGACACAGGTTTGTGCCCCGGTCTGGGAAGATCCCACATGCCGCGGAGCAGCTGCGCCCATGAGCCGTGGCCGCTGAGCCTGTGTGTCCGGAGCCTGTGCTCCGCAACGGGAAAGGCCACAACAGTGAGAGGCCCGCATACCGCAAACAAAAACATTCAGTAGGAAGTAGGATAAGAAGCAGCTTATGTTCACATGGACTGGACAACAGTACATGTCTACAATCTTGCCCCAGGGCTATGTGAATTCTCCTGCTCTCTGTCACAATATATCCTGAAGGGACAAAGATTGTCTGGCCACCCTGCAGTACATTACATTGGCCCACTATATTGATGACTGTATTAATCAGGGCTCTCTGGAGAAACAGAACTCTGTCTCTCTCTCTCTCTCAACCCCAAATTCTGATGGACTTCATTGATGGGATGCACAGTGGCTCACGAAAAGGCAGGAGGCTGGGCTCAGAGCCTGCAAACGGCCCCAGAACCAAGCAGGAAGCAGAGCTGCTCCAGGAATTGAACAGCAGGAACATCTCCTCCACCTTGTTAAGGAGCTGCCACTGAACAAATGTTATCCAACTGTGTTTTAACTCCTTAACAAACCTCACGTGAGAGTCCAAGTCCCCGAAGAGAGTCTGGCTGGCCTGGCTTGCTCATGGGCCAGTGTCTCGGTTAACATTCCTTCTACTCCTGCACACAAAGGGGTGAAGTCTTCACCCAAAGGAATCCAGGTCTGTTAGGAAAGGGGTGGAGGAGGCTGGACAGCCATGGAAAATGAAACTAACTGGCAGAACCCACCCGGGGACCATCAGTGAGCTCTGATGTCTAAGGGGAGGAATGGGGTGGTCCCAGGCCAGTCTGAGAGGCCACAGAGCCTGGGGGGCACATTCCTGAATCGAATGGAACAGGTTGACTGTGGTTCCATTGCCTGTGCTTTGGAGATTAAGGCTGAGTCGGTCATCATGTTAGAAGGGAGAACGTCCACTCCACCACCCTGGACAGCCAAGGGCAAGGACGGCCACTAAGCCCATTGCCCCTGTCGGTTCCATTTACCTGGACGCATATGTGGGCTGTTGGCTGTAAAGGAGCCTGGCTGTGGTCTTACCTAGGGGGAGTGTGCCTGTGTCCCTGGGAACTGCAGTAGGACTGATGCTCCTGAAGTCCTGGGCTCCACCCTTCAGCCTGAACCTCCCAGTGCGGGTTCCAGAGCATCAGCACACACCCTGCTATCTGGGTGGAGAGGACCGGGCCTTCTGTCTGGAGGACAGAACGGGGTTCTCCAGCTCTCCCTGAGTAAACTGCGTGGAAGACATCCCTATGAGGACAATATGCAAAGAACAGTTGCCTACGGCTTCTAGAAAGTGAACAAAAGCAGGCTGATGTTAGAGGGAAGTCAAAACTCAAGGGAAGCAGCCAGACAAAATGTTTCCTGTTTATTATTACTCGAGAGCAGCCACAGCCTTATATGGGGTGGCCAAAACTTTGGTAGGAAGCCTACCTTCTTTCTGGTCAGCAGAGCCAGGAAGAAGCCCAGGGCAACCAGCCTTTCTGGGGAGGGAGAGGAAAATCCCAGGAAGGTGAAAGTCACAGAGAAGAACCCCAAATTCTGTGTATAAACCCTCCCCACTTGAGTTCAAAACCAACTGACAGGCAAAAAGGTGAGACAGATGGGGATCAAAATACTAATTTTCTTCATGATAAAAGCTGGATGGGGCTTAGTGATGTGGCTTACCATGTAGCAAAACAGAGATCCCTAAAACGGAACCTCAGAATTGGGCTTATCCACACAGTCTTACACAGCTCCAATCAGTCACACCCCACCCCGCCCCACTCCCCAGGCCCCTGTCTCTGTGCACTTGACCTTGGAAGGGCTGACAGAGCCCTGGCCCTGCAGGAAGGACAAGCTCAGGGAGACCCAACAAGGAACAAGCAGACTCACCCCTTGTACCCAGAGAGTCTCCCAGGAGGAGAGAGAAGCAGGGGGTCCAGGCCAGTCCCACTGACTGATGTGCTGCCCCTGGAAGGAGACAGTGGAGCAGGGCCTGAGTGTAACCACTTGGGTCCCAGGCGTCCACTCCGCTCCACTTATACACCCATGGAGGAGCGGAGGGTCTTGATCCTCTGGCCCCAGTGGCCACTCCGGCAGCTGCTGCTGCTTCCTTCTGCCCTTTAAGCTCAGATCCCAGGTCCTACTGTCTGGTCTCAGGGACAAGCCTCTGGTCCCTACTGGGGTCTTCCAACTTAGAGACTCAGCCCCACTACTGAAGTCTGAGGGGAAGCTGTTCCTGGTGAAGCTCGTGAAGCCCGTCGTCTTAGCGGGTCCTCTCCCCCAGGTCCCTCCTCCACCACCACCTGCCCTGCCCTCTGGGTTTCCGGGCCCAGTAGCTGGGATCCTCCCGGGACAGCAGAGATGCTCCCCATTGCCAGCGGTCCTCACAGCCATGGAATATGCCCCAGGTGCCCCCTTATTTCCTTCAATCTCTCCAGCAGGGTTTGTAGGAGGAGTTCAACCTCTTCTTTTTTTTTTTTTTTTATGGTTGATTTGCAATGTTGTGTTAATTTCTGCTGCACAGCAAAGTGATGCAGTTATACATAGATATATATTCTCTTTTATATATTTTTTTTCTTTTTCATTATGGTTTATCCTAGGATCAACCTGCTTCTTAATTTGGTCCTGTCCTTTTCCAAACCCGAGTTCCTGGCTTAAAGAAACTGCATTCTCCACAGAGGCCTGGGGCTGCTTCAGAAACTCCCACTGCTCTCACAGAGTGTGGTGCAGGCCCAGCTTTCTCAGACCCACAGGAAGGTCTCTGCCAGGGGCCAGGAGCAGCCCCCACGCGGGAGTGTCCACCCTGTGGATTGCTCGTCCAGCCGCTGCTAGGAGGCCTCTAATTCCAGGTGCTCAACTTGAAGGTCCTAAACAGACAACAGAAAAGTGGGCACATTTATGTCAACAGCCAGCACGGCAGTGGCCTGGGCCACCAGCTGCCCAGGGACAGAGAAAAGAGGGAGAGGGGACACTAGAAACGGCAGGTGTGGTCTGTGCCAGCCTTGTCTGGACCCCATGCCCCATGGAGTCAGGAGCAGAGGACAGTTGTGCCCAACAGAGGCTCGGCTTACTAGTCCTTCTATACCCCCAAAGTGAGGGAGGGAAAG